GCCCTTTGAAGTCGGGTCTTCCACGATAATTTGCGGAACCGATAAATATTTTGTTCAAAATGTTGTCGTTGAAAGAGAAGAAGATGATGATGGCCATGGTGACGGTGGAAAGGAGTAGAAGCAGAAGAGAAAGGAAGAAGAATCAGTAGAAGACGTGAACCTTCTACCAAGACAAAGAAACCAAAGCCAAAAGAGTGAAATGAATGAAGATGTTGTCCAAAGCTAATAAATGCTCGTGCAAACAGATGCCTTCGGATGCAAAGCATGAACTTGTGAAGGTCAACTTTCCAATCTTCTTGAAACGTTTAAATATATTCCTTTTATCACTGTTTTCCTGATAAAACTGATGGGGGAGGAGTACAAATGAAGTTGGAATGAGAGAGAGTGGGAGAGAGAGAGTCAGAGAGAGAGAAAGCTTTGAAGTTCTGAGCTGAGAGCTGAATGCTTTCTTAACTTGGATATGCTGATGTGAGATCGATGAATTTTGAATCAAACTTTATATTCAAATGTTCCTTTTTTGGAGCTTCCAACCGAGAAAAGTTTTTCGAAAAACAGTCGCAAAAGTCTGTTAAGTGAGAGAGAGGGAGTGAGAGAGAAGGATTGAAAAGGAGAGAGAGAGAATAGAAGAGACTGAGAATGAAGAGAAGAAGAAGAAGAAGAAGTTGAAGAAAAGGAAAAGAAGAAAATAGCCCTGAAAATGCTCAGAAATGAATTCTATTTGATGAGTTTAAGTGACTGGCAGATTTACATTGAAATGTGATTTAGAAGGAAACGAAATAAAAAAATTTTTTTGTTGTGAAACACACACAAAGAAATTGAAAACTTTGAGCATTTTTCTTTCTCTCCTTCTTGATTATATTTTTATTCGAAAAAAGAAAAAACTAAAACAGCTGAAGATCAAAGAAAAGTCTCAAAATGAGATTTTTTAATCTTTTCGAGCTTTAAACTTGCCAGCTTTAAAGAGAATGCCAGTTAAATGTTGCAAAAGATATCCCTCCTAACGAAATTTTGGTGAATTTCACGTCATTCACGTTAAGTCAACTCTATACTATCATTTCAATATTGGCTAACGCAACTGAGCGGTTGTTCCATTCTTTATCTCACCTCCCTCCTCACACCATTCTCTCTCTCTGTTTCATTCAACCTCTATAAACATATACATACACATATCTCAACCTCTGTCTACCTCTCTATCTCTCTATCTCTCCATTTCTCTTTATAAATCATTCACATTCATACTCTCTCTATTGAACGTAATGTATCTTTCAATCATTTTTTGAAGAATATCTCACTCACAGCGGTAACCTCACCCTACCTTGTAATCCAAGTTGTTTGAGGGATAAAGTATAAAAATCTGTCAAAATATATATGTAAAAAGCAAACAGACACAAAACTTGAGAGGAACTGTAACAACAAACATCGGTTAATTGGAGTTTCTAAGAATAAAAAAAGCTTAGGAGGGAGGAGAAAGGAAGGAGGAGTGGGGATAAAGCTTTATCTCCAGCTAGATCTCCATCCTTCTCTCTCTCTCTCTATCTCTCTATCTGTTTCCCTCGTTTTTTTTGCAAGAATTTATTTAAAAAAAAGGAGAAGAGGAAACAGAGATCTTTCATATGAAAACATGCGGATTGAATGGATTAAGTGTTAAGCACTTTAACTGTTGAAAAAAGAAAAAATGTGAACTGACTTTACCTTAATTATCCACATTCTCACATTATATTATGAGAAAAAGACATTTCGTTCCTTATTTGGGAAGGGAAAAACAAAATTCATTTTGAAATTTATATTTTTTCTTAAACAAATCTCTTCATCATCATCATCAACAATATATGGTCTCAGATCCGAAAAGTTACTATAATGAGAGATAGAGTGTGAGATAGATGGAGAAAGATAGAGAGCTATAGAGAGATAGATGGATATGCTTGCTTATGCAAGCCCTTCATACTACTAAGCAACGACACACAACCTTATGCTATCACAACAGAGTCGGGTTAGAAATGAAAGCTTTTCCCCTCCTTTTTCCTATTTCACGTCTTCACATAGTATCTTATTTCCGCACATTTTTCCAAGAGAGAGAGCATTCCGCTCTTCTTGTTTTCAATTAAAACCAAAAAACCTCTTCCAAGTTTACTGACACTAGCATTAGGAGCTTTGAGCAACAACTTATAATTCCTTTCTTCAGCAGCTTTCTCTCTCTCTCTCTTATGGCTATAAGCAGAGAGACACTCCTTCACTTTAGACTATCTCTCTTTGTGTTACTCCAATCTCTCTAAAGCCAACCTTCTTCCACTTCTCCATACACTTGTTGCTTTCTACCTCCTTCTCTCTCTAATTCTCTTTCTCTCTCTCTCTCTCTGTCTGAATATTTCAATCTCACATATTTTTGGAAAAAACAACAAAAATTGCAAAAATGCTTTCTCTCCACCACATTCTCTCCATTATTATTCATCTTTAATCTTCATAGGTCTTCTTCATAATCAAAGAGAATGTGATTGTGGAGCTGCTTTTTCATTTCTACACCTTCGCTCCATTTTCTGATTTTTAAAAGAAAATAACAAAAGATTATGTTAATTACGTATTCAAAAGAAAAATAATATGAGATGAAGACCTCTGGACAACAAACGGAAGCCAAAAGGAGAAAAAGAATCAAGTACTTTCCTCCTTCTCCTCCCCCACTTCCTTGCCCTCTACACCACGGCCTCAAGGAAACTATTGCCCCCCCCCCCAATGTCTGTGTGTGTGTGTCTCCTTGTCCCTCTTCCAACTTCTTATAAACTCTGATGTCCTCAATATCCGCTTGGAAACATGGAAATTTGAAATCTTGACCTCTTCTGTTGCTTAAAATAAGTTTTTTCAACCTGCATCTGGTAAACCGCCAACGTAATGGCCGTATCTTCCAATTGGAAAGGGACTGATGGTAGTAGTGGTAGTGGGGGTGATGGTGAAGAAGGAGGAAAAGGGGTGATTGTAAAGGAAACCTAAACTGAATTTTGTGTTCTCAAAGGATTTTAGGAAATGGTCTAAGTACTTTCATTATCTATTAAGAGAGAACAAGGCTTTTCGTTTCTGTTGAAAACATCATTTCTTTAGATCTTTTTGAGAAAAAAAATAATTAAATCTAATTATAAATATTTTTTGCAACTGCGGAATAATTCCGAATGTTGAAGTGAAAGCTGAAGATAAAGACGTTGATGAAGAGAGAAAAAAAAGAAGAAGAAGAAGAGGAACGGAACCTTCATTTGCAATCTTAGAGGACAGAATTTCAAATTTTTTTTTTTCCAAACATAAATTCAATTATTGAATTGTATATTCATTTAGTTTTCGATTAAAGAATGAAATCTCTGTTAATGACATCCTACAGCCATTTTACTCCTCCTCATCATCTGACTCTCTCCATCTCTCTTCCTCATTCGCCTCCTCCTTCACCTCTTTCTCATTTTATATTTCTTTGTTCAAAAAAAATTTTTGATACAAAAATAGTTTTTTGATCTTCATATGGACAGAGAGAGTACAGTTCACAGAAAACTCAAAAACGGAAAAATGTATGAAGAAAACATGTGAATAATTCAGAAGATTCATGTGCATCATGAGGTAGACATTTGAGCAGAATTCAATGATTAAGAGTAGTAGAATGGAGATGTGAAAACGGAAGAGATGTAGGGATTAGCCAAGACTAACGAATAAGAAATAATAAGCAAAGATATGGAGACTGTAGATTGAAGGAGGCAAAAACATTCACGTGGCTGTAACGAATTACAACCTTCTCTCTCTCTCTTTCTCTCATTGTTGAGTTGGCAGGTAATATAACCTGCGTTATATGGTCAAAAATCTTTTAAAAACACGAGAATGAAGCAGCTTTTATATGAAATTCTGAATAATTGACGAAGCAATTACAATGAGAACTCACGAATGATTTCCTTATTTGTCAAGGCTTCACATGTGACGACGCTTGTTCAACTGATGAATATCAAATTAGCCAAATGATAACAGCCTTCGACAACAACAACAAAGAGTTTTTGTGAACATAAAGCGGCTGAATATTAGAACAGAAGAAATATTCTTGTTATAATTCAATAATTAAATTATTATTTTTAATATGAGCCTTATAAGGAGAGAATTGGATAAATGCTGTCTCAGATTTCGTTGGATTTGGACCCTACGTCATCACAAGTACTCAATTACATCAACTCTTCTTACAACTGAACGCCTTTTTCTCTTTCTCCTTCTTTCATACTCTTTTTGTTTCCCTTCATTCTTCCTCCTCTAACCTCCCTCGAGTCTTAGCGTCTCTTTATCTTGCACATCATGTCCCTCTATGTTTTCTACTAGAAAGGGAACTTGGACTACTCCATTGACAAAACACCAAAGAAAAACACACAATAAATCAAGAAGGAAACTATGAAAATTTGGGAAAGAATAGCAAAAGGAAAAGGTTGGAAATCGGTCGCATACTCTCTCTACTACTTTGGAGAGTTTGAACAGCCGTGAAAGCTGAAAAAAGTCAGAAAAGCATGCAAAGGAGGCTGGAGAAAATCTCTTCTTTTGACAATGAGAGTGAGACAGAGAGAGAGAAGAGAGAAGCTTGGAAGAGATTTCAAGGAAAATTCATAACTTTCAAACATACGTTTCCACATCTGAAAACGGAAAAGAACCATTAATGAAATAGGCTGACGTATCAATGTTTACTCGGAAATGCATAAGCCGGAAATCATGAGTTAAACCTTATCACAAAACTCTTGTTGTTGATTCATTAAAATGGATGCATTAATTGGGTTCGACCAACCGAAAGCCATATCTGCCTTATCTCCCTCTATCTCTCTATCGTTCATTTCTCCTTAAAGTATTGAAAACGTTATTGAAAAATCAAAAGTTCAAATACATATCTTAACAACTGCTCAAATATCCCAAATTGAGAAACAAAAATACCGACCGAGCTCCACGTTTTCCACGGGAAGCGCACGTGACAATTTTTTTCATTTCCCGTCAAAAACAGTTGGTGAATGGTCGGCTGTTTCCATGAGTTTTGTGAAGGACCCAGTCCTTTGAGATTGGAAAAACGACTGCCAGCTTTACCCGTTGAATATCTGTGGCAAATCCAGGAAAACTTCGAATACTTGGTATCAGGTTGATGACTGAACTTCTATTTAATGAGTTCAGATCTCAAGTAAAAAATCAACGAGCAGGAGAAGGAGAAAGAACCAAAGTAACTACATAGCAAATCCTCAATTTCTCCAATTAGCTCCTCCATATCATCACATACCCAACACCCCATACTTCCGGAGAGCTTACATAGTTCCTCCACCGATTGTTAATACGGAAGGCTTGTCTTCTTTACAAAGAATTATCAATCGTTATCTTTTGAGTATGAAAGTAAGTCCCAACCACTCTCTCTCTCTCTATCTCTCTCTTTCTGACCACTTTTTGACTTGTAAAACCTGTTCTCATTGAAGGAACATGATGATTACGAAGAGTTTGAATTACAACGTTGGCTTTATTGTGAAGAGGCGCTCAATTTTGAAAATTTGAATATTTGTACGTTGACGCGAGCGAACGCCTTGGGCAGTTCATTGATATCTTGGAATATTTGGCAATAAATTGCGAAAATGTTGTGTGAAACTGAAAGCTTTTGTATTATTGTTGTTGTTTATTAAAAAATAAAATGTTTTGCAGATAATAGGAGGATATTGGAAGGAGGCAGTGTCGTTGTTACCTTGTTTCTCTGATAGTAATATACGAGGGGCGACGATTAATGTGGAAATACGGGATCTTGGGACAGGTGACAGTGGAAAAGTTCAATTGGATTATGATCCATGGGCCAGTTCATTTGATATCATACCTCTCCAACCATTTTTCAATTCTGAATCCAGTGAAATTCCTTTTGTGGTGAGTGATTGAAATACAACTCAAATAACAGCAGTTTCTTGTTGCAGACAGTAGCTTTAGGAACAGTTACATATTCTGAAATCGAAGTGAATGTCACCTGTATCTCTAGAAAACCAGCTTTCAAGCCGTACTCCATAACAAAAACACTTGGAGCTTACTTTGAGATTCCCCTAGAGAAAGGGAAATCTGATTGCAATGTGTTGCTTATTGAGGTAATAACTTTTCTGCTTTCATAACACTTGCTGATGTTGAAAGGTTTTGACACAAACAGCTTTCAGGCGAAGCGAGTTCTATCTGATGGCCTTAAATCTCGCAGCAAAACGTTGGTCATACCTTTCTTGAGAGCTGCTTCCTCATACAAACCATCATGGATTCAAATCCAGGAGCCGAGAGGGTTCTATAAAGTGGGAGAGAAAGTGGATGTTCGAATAAATAAGGGTAAAGTGAATGTTCCCAGAAATTACATGGTTAGTCTACCTGTCTCGTTGTTTTTCTTCTAATTTCAATTTTTATTTATAGGTATTATGTAATTCTTTTGACATAATTAGTGTTGGCAAAATACGAGATGATAATACTCTGAAGATTCCTGTAACTGCAAATATGCTCGGAGAATGTTACATCTTTGTTTATTCCAACAAATCGCCTTATACGGTGGATATGATGCTATTTTTCGTTGACGAAATATGCGAAGTAACTGTTTTCACTCATAATCATGACTATTTTGATCAATTGCAGGCTAGCACAACCTCTTCTAAACTAGAATTGAAGCCAGGCCACAATGTTACTTTCGGAATGAACGGCAAACCCAATTCTTTGGTTTTGCTTCGAGCCATTAACGATCAGCTTAACTTCTTGAAAAAAGTACGTTGGCTATAACCGTCATTCGATTCGGATTCGTACATTCAGAACAGCGAAGAAAAACGGTATAAGAGCTGGGACTTTGGCTTCTTCCAAAGCGCCGATCCCAACCATCAACAGTCTCGTTTGAGAAACTTTGTAGATCTTAAGAGCATTGAGAGAGAGACTGGTTATTAGTTTTTAATTTTAGCAAGATAACAATTATTTATAGAGAAAAATTGTCATAAAGCAGGAAGCTTATACAGTGATATGTTCGGGAAATGTCCAATTGCGAAAGCTAGCAACTCGATGATTTCTGATTTCTGTTTGAAGAAGATGATCGAGCACTGTCTGAACCCTGTTTCAAATACCAAAACAAGTAGTTCGAAAGTTGAATTTGATAGTAATTCTGCTTTTGTAGCTGCTTACTCGTGCGCAACCTCTGAATGTGCTGCTAAGAGCCGAATCGAAAATATTAAAGCTGCTAGTTTTCTCGGAGCAAGAACAGCAAACTATATGTAAGCATATGGTTATGTTGTTTTCAATCTCGCTATTGTTTAAAATTTGTAGGGAGCAAACAGAACCAATCTTCGATGAGCCGGTATTACAACCGGATGATGATGGATCTCCGATTCGTCAGCGTTTCCATGAAGTATGGCTCTTCGACGTGGTTAAATTAGAGTATGGAAACGAGTTGAATCTATGATATTATCGCTTTTGCAGTGATTCCGGTTTTATGACGACAACCGTCACTGCTCCTGATAATATAGGTCGATGGGCTGTAGCCTCTGCCTATTGGGCTCCCGGTCACCCAAACTTGTGCAATGCTAAAACAATAGAAATTGTGTCGAAAAAGAACTATTTTCTGGAAGTTGACATACCACGTCATGCTTACAGCAATGAGTCTGTGTCTGTGAAAGTTTCAGTGACAGCTCTTCAACCACAAACAGAAAAGAAGGTATTTGCATTACTTTGATAATTGTTCTATTTATCACTTAAGCTCTCAATCTGCATGTCTGATTTATCACGCAAGATTTGTGCTGATGTTGGAGCGAACGGTCGTACCGGAGAATCAATTTATTCGAGGTTCGTCACCAAACTTCTAACAGTGTAAACGCCTCTTTTGAAGAGTGATTGTGTCTCCAAACGCACCGATTGTCACGAAGACGTTCACGATGAAGTTCTTAGGAGATGGGGTCATGAATATTTTGTTCCAACTTCGAGAGTAAGTTTTCTTTATTTAACTGAAAGCTGATACTTCTTTCCAGACAGAAAGAGTATCCGGGAAAGAAACACTGTGACATCGGCCAAGTGTATGATTCAGTAAGAATCAAAACAAAAGTTTCGGTAAGGACAGGAGCAGATTATCGTAATTTCATGTGTAATCCTTAAGCGAAGAGTTGAAGCGGAGGAAATGTACAAAGTCTTGATTGTTGATCCTGATAAACCACTTCATAAAAATGATTTCCCAAGAACTACCGTATGTAAGGACGAACGTATGTACAACTACTACAACTTGCCTCTCGATAACCCTGTTATTTCCAAATCAATCGGTGAGTTCTTGCATTAGAACATGTCTCAACAAAGCTTTGAAGAAATAAGTGAATGCCGAGGTGCTGATGGTGCACTACACACGGAAGTTTTCACCAATGTTTTGGATGCCGACGTTGTCCAGATCTTCACAGTTGACATTCACAGTTAGCTTGATTCTTTAGTATATCAATTTCACCTCAATAGGATTTCTGCCAAACAAAGAGAAGTACAGCTTTGCTCAGCGTAGAGTCAAAAGAAACCATGTTGATGTTCGGCGTTTATCTTTGAACGAAGTTCTGATAAGACTATCTGTGGAGTTGTATCACTTCAAAAGTTTGAGAACAGAAGAGAACACTAAACCGGAAACGATTGAACGATCTGAGAAAAAAATTGGATCTCGTATGTTTATGAACCATAAGTACGCACAACCTACTTTTTTTAGTTATTTCTGAGATGCTGCTTTTCTCTGATTGTCATGTGGGAGATAGTATGTGCGGGTTTTCAGAATATGAAGAACCAACACAGGAGAGTCAACGTGATCCTCTGTAATTTCCATTGCTTCAAGATTTTTTAAACTTAATTTTTTTCAGTCTGACAGCTATATCAGCATCTCTGATTTGTCAAGGAGCCATTAATAATGAAAAGGCTTGTGGTCCTGTGAAGTTTATTGAAAACCTGTTGTTAGAAAACCGACGACTTGAGGATATAGATATATCCCATTTGATTGATTTGGTAAATTCAAAAGTTCGTATCATTGCAGTTGCAGAAGTTTAGGATAATCCCATTGATCGTCGATGGTTCTTGATTTCCATGTTCCTCCAAGTACTTGAGGATTGTTTAGCGTTGCAATGTCCAGTAAGAAGATAAATCGATTTGAACTACTTGAAGGCATCCAATTTTTCAGAGAAACCAATCTGCTTGGTCAAAACTATTTTTCGACTTCGACAATTTGGATGATAATTTCAAGTAATGACTGAAATACGTATTTTCATATTGAAAGAGCTTTCAGCTTCGATGATCGAACGTTAGCCGCTCTGGCATTCTTGAGCCCGAAAGGCATAACGGAGTTGATGAGAATCAAGATGATGGGTAGAAGAAAAAGTATTATAAATACTGTTCGTAGTAGCAACTATCCTCATTGTGTTGTAGATGCTATTCCGTTCTGGTCTGCTGGCAAAGACAACATTAAAATTCTATCGCACCGTATGAGCACTTTCGATAAGCACTCCGCTGTCAGGAAGCTGAGAGTGAGATTTCGCTTGAAAACGTATAACGAAAGATTCTTGCAGACGGGTGACGTCCTTGCAAATTCATTGGGCATCTTATCATTTATCGTTCCTGCAGCTGAAAGCGAACAATTGAATTGGGATAGTCTTGCTAGTTGGTTATATGAACAACAGCAAGAAGATGGAGGATTCCGTGGAGTTTTGGTAATTACAGTTGGGAGGAGATGTTTGAATTCAGTTTTTAGGATACTTTCTATGCTACAAGAGCTATCTATGAATACAGATATAGAAAAGTGAATGAGAACAGTGAAATGCAATTGAAAGTAGTCTGTGAAAACGGACCGTCCTATGAAGTCAATGTTACCAGCACAGCTTCTGAATTCTACGTGAGTGCATATTTGACTTTCTCGGTTCATCTCAAATTTTTTTGTAGTTTCCAACGAACGTTCGCAATTTCACTATAATTACAAGGGGTCACGGAAAACTCAGAGTAGGAATTCATATGTTGGCCAGCAAGAAACAACGGTGTGATCATGTGCATAACCTAAAACTCGTAGTTTTTAGTTCACGCAGAGGCTTAACCCAGGATAATTATTACCCTGTTCGTTTCTCAATTGATCAAGAAGTTATTGCAAATGGAGTGTTGAAGCAGACAGTTTGTTTCACGTAAGTTATTCAAACATGTATACGCTCGGAACGGTTGCTGAAACTTCTAACTTCAGTATTCGCTCAGCAATCATGACAGACTTAGAGATTACTCATGGTATATACACAGGTTATTCTTTGAAACCTAGCAATGTGGTTTTGCATCAAGTAAGTTGTGTGGTTCTTCTTTATTACGAAGCGTTCATTCAGAACTCGAGCTTTGCAAGCTTCCGTACTTATCCCAGTGTTTCTTCCTATGCTGCTCATTTCGTGCTTCAAGGTTTTACTACCTTAAATCATATAAAATGATCAATTTATAGGTTTGAAATCAACCATACCCACTTGCTATGAAGTTGGTTTGGCGGAACCCAATTACCATCACGAACCTCTGTATCTCGCACCTGTGGCTCTACAAGCCAAGCATGTTTTTGAAGGTAAATTTAAGAACGTGAACATCATTACACTATTTTCAGGACTTGTCGGTATGGCTCTCATAACCCATCCAGATCAACTACCACGCTTCCGACGAGGTTCTCAGCCAATCATTGTGAGATCAATGAACTCATTGAAAAGGAGTCGACGTGACATAATAAATGATTCAGTGGATACTGTCTGCTTCAAAGGAGGTAAAATGAAATGATCATAGAACAAGAAGTTATCAATTTTTGTAGGAACCTGCGCATGTGCCGAAACAACCTGCTCTGTGAATTGTGGGCTTTGTGAACTAGATACTACTGAAGATTTGGAAGAAATTCTGAAAGACGAGGATAAATATGGTAGGAGAAACCGTTTAATTTTTGAGTTTATCCTGGTTTAAGTTGCTCTCGGAGAAGCAGTGCATAAATACGAAATAACCAGTGGTGATGATGTTTATACAGTAATTCGCTTGGAAATAAAATTTAAGACAGGATATAGAGAACATCTGCTATCCAGTGAGTTGCTTTATCATCGAAAACCAATATCCAATATTCATCATTCAGATTTCTTGAATGTATGGATACGGAAATGCAGCTACTACAAATGTGTACCGGATAACGACATTAAGAAATCAAAATTCTACGTAATTGGTGACGTAGAGGGGATCTCTGTGGATTCGGATGCAGAGTGAGCTTCTTTCTCTTATCATATCTCACTCATCTCTGTTTAAGACAACATTACGTTTTGCGTGATACTGACCG